TCTTCTTTTTCCACTTGCTACTTTTCTATCTATAATGTCCTGTCAAAGGATTTATGCATACATTTTATTGCTCTATTGTAGTGTTCACAGTGATTGCAGTTTGTAGTAAGGGTTGTAGTTTTAATAATTTTCAGCCAAGGTTAATCTGGAAAGACATATTGATGAAAATACCAGTAAAAGTATCAGCAGTAGTTACCCATCTGTATTTGTGATATTGAGAAAATTATTACTTAGTATTTTAAACAAATTCTTGTTTCATTACTGTAATACATTTCTATCTCAATTGCAATTAATGTCATGTACCAGAAGATGGAGTAGTACGAGATTGACAGCTACATTTGCAGGCACACAGGCAATGTGCTTTTTCCTTAGATACATCAATTCTTCCCATCAGTGAGCTCTATCACAATAAATATTTAAAAGCTTAATCTCCTGGCAGTTTTTCATGGTAGATATCAAAACTGCTATTGTTGTCTCCAGTATTATTGCAAAAGAGTGCTTTAAGCTTCAAAGAGTTTAATATTTCTTGTCAAGTCATTAATTCCTTTCTCACAGGGCTTCCAGGGACCTATCATCAAATACTGGAATGTCCTTGTACAAAAGAGTTGCTTGTCAGTTCTTCCTTATAGTAATAACAAAAATGATGTTTTCTTTCTATAGAAGGAGCCATAATTCCTAGGAACTGTGGTCATATAACATTTTTTGTTCCATATTAGTTTAAAACATTAATTTAAATATTATATGTCTAATCTTGATGATTCTGTATCTTTGTTTACAATTTCCAATTCTAAACTGGCATTATATCCTCCCTTTTTTCCTCATATTCAGGTTTTGTTAAGCTACTGTATTTTTTGTACTGCACTGCTTTGAATTTCCTCTTTCAACAATACTTTTTTTCTCCTCTTTAGTCTATCACAAAACTCGACAACTGAAAGATCTTTCCTTCCTTACTGTTGTGAGCACACCGTGTATGTTTTTCAGCTCAAGATACATGCTGTTGATGTAAACTGCTGTGTTGATGTGCTGCTGCTCAAATCTGCTTTATCTGCAATTACACCTCTTTTTCTTTCCATCCATACTTTTTGGACCATACATTATGTATCCCAAAATCTTCCTACTTTTACATTTAAGTTTCTAATCAGAACTTAATTTGTTTTCCTTCTTTATATTTTTTCTCTTTGCTCTGTGTTCCTATATAGGCTTTGACATCAGTAGTTAATTACAGGGAGCCCAAGTCGATCTGCAAAGCACCTGAGTTGGTAAGTGATGCATATTTTTGTAGAAAGTAATAATACATTTTTATAACTGTCAAGTTAGTTGACATAGGGTCCATTACATGAATATCATTGCTCACACTAAGTCAGTCTCAGGTATGTATTTCATTAGTAATAAATAACTTTACCTGAACACATTAGTGTGCATTAGTGATGCAAGTGTCTTTGAATGTGGCATGTATTGTTTACCTATTAATATAGCCCATGAGACTGTAGACTGTCATTACTTACTTCATACTTTAATTTTTTGTAGAAGTTTAGAATACCTTGGTGTACATTTGTTCTCAAGCTTGACAAGTAGGTTTGGGTTTGTTTTTTCTTTTCTTAACTTGAGCTGGCCAAGTACTGTGACAACTTGTTGAAGAAATCAGCGAAAGGAATGACAGAGAATGAAGTAGAAGACAAACTTACAAGTTTCATTACTGTTTTCAAATACATTGATGACAAAGATGTATTCCAAAAGGTAACTTTTTATATTAAATAAATTATAAAATGTTGCATTTGAAGACTGGTATGCCTTAAAAAATTCTCATATCTGACTTTTTTTTTATGCAGTTCTATGCCAGAATGTTGGCAAAAAGGTTAATTCATGGTTTGTCCATGTCTATGGATTCTGAAGAAGCCATGATTAATAAACTAAAGGTAATGTGATAATCTTCTAATGCAGAATAAACAGGGGAGTATGTAATGGTGAGAAGGTGCAGCAGAGGGTGCCAGAGGTAACTGAGCAATCAGTAGAACCCATTTCCAATAGCTGAGAGGAAGAGGTAATTTCTTGGTAGTCTGCAGAAGTTATGGCTAAGTAGCTTTTGGGTAGTTTTATTAAGTGCATTCAAATTACTAATATTTACATTAGAAAAGTATAAAAGAGTTTCATAAACTAGCTCTATTTTTTAGTTATGTAAAACAAGATTGTTCATATAAATCAATGTATCGAAATCTGATTGTTATTATTATAACACTTCCACTGACCAGGTTTTCATATTTTAGTAGTGAATGTGTGTGATTTATTTAACAAGTACTGTTTTCACTGTGAAAGCTGTTACAATATTTCTTTACAGCAAGCCTGTGGTTATGAATTTACCAGCAAGCTCCATCGAATGTATACGGACATGAGTGTTAGTGCTGATCTCAACAATAAATTCAACAACTTCATCAAAAACCAGGACACAATTATAGATTTGGGAATTAGTTTTCAGATATATGTTCTGCAGGTACTAATGTATGTTTATTACTGTTGAATTATTTGTACTTTATGTTTTGATAACAAATTAATAATTTTTCTAACTTTGAATACTTCTCATATGGAAATTGACACTTTGTGATGATAGAAGAATAATTTATTTTTCTAGTTTTTCTTTTTAAAATTAACCTGCTAGCATACTGAACAATAATGGTGAAAAATGCAATGTGTTCTTGTCTTGAAATAATACTTTAGTGGGAAATGTGTAAAGAGTAGTAAAAATTTGCATTAAAACTTCTGGTCTAAGTCAAGTGTCTTATGATGGATTATACACTACAGATCTGTTGAATAGTGGAGGGTTTTTTTAAATTTGTATGAAAATATTAATGCTTTTATTTTTCCTGATACTTTTAGGCTGGTGCATGGCCTCTAACTCAGGCTCCTTCTTCTACATTTGCAATTCCTCAGGAACTGGAAAAAAGTGTACAGATGGTAGGTTAGTAGGAGGCTTCTTGTAAACATGTGGAAAACATAAAATAACTCCAAATAAAAGATGATCACAGAGAAAAACCTGAGCTGCTTAATTTTGTTTATAAATCATGGCTGTTTCCAGCCCATGTGAAATTGGAAAGGTCACCCAAATGACACATGAATTGTTGCATGCATTTGCATAACTTCTTTCACATCTTTCTCCACTTCATGATTGATAAGGGAGATACTAATTCAATCTGATGAACTGGGTTGCTTCTTAGCTTTAAACCAAATTCCTAGTATTTATATAAAAGAAGATTTGTTTCTAATATTAAATCTGAACAGATTTGATAGCAGATTAAAATGCAGACACAGATTTCTTTTCTCATATTTCATAGGAGCCATTCAAAATCAAGCTTCAGGCAAACTTCATTAAGGCTAATTTCAGCAATTCTTGAAGTGAAGGTTTTACTTAGGCCAAATATTCTCTTTTTATGTGTTTATTTCTGCTTTGTAGAGCTGGAATATTTTATTACTTTTTATTACATTATTGTGTTAAAAATGTTAACTATAAAGTGCTTGCATTAAAATACAGAATATGTCTGGCTTTATTAGTTAAGTAAATTTTAAGCTATAGATGTGCCTAAATACACTTTGCCAAAGTGCATTTGATGGTAAGGTAGATTTTAGGCAATAAAAATGTCATATTTTTGGACATAACAGAATTTTTAAATCAGTTTTTATACCATAAATTGCTGTCTTATATAAATTACTATTTCAGATGTCTACAGTGAAGGAGCTTTTTCACATATTAAATAAAATCCAATTTTTACAAGCCTTGCCATAAACTTCCACTTTAGTTTTTGGAGAAATTATTCTTGTTCTTCCTGTCAGCATAACTTGGAATGTTTTTTAAACAATCTGGAATGTCTTTAATTGTTCCTCAAAATCCAGTGCTTCTTACCTTTCCTAGGGCTCTTTCTTTATCTTTCTCCTTTCTTTACAAGTTTCCAGGAATGTAGTTGCTATTTTCCAGGAGTGGCAGTGTTGCTGGATTATATATAAGAATAAGATTATTTTGCTGGTGCCCTCCATTCTCTTACTCTCAGTTGGTGAAAATGACATTTAAATGACCATTAATATAGCTTTGAAAGAATCTTCTAGGAATTGTATTCATAGAGTCTTCTGGAAAGTGGTCTCACAGTTGCCGGACTTATGCACTATAACATCAAACTGCGAAGCTTATTTTCACTTGCACAAACTCAAAACTTTGCTCCCTGAAGAAGAGAAGACTTTTAAAGGGTTTTTTTGAAGGCCTTTTCTTGTTTAGAGGCATTTTTTTCCATATTCCTCTTCTGCTATACATTTGTGTGTCTTTGTATAATTTAAATATCAGGAAAAAAATGCTTTCCAGATTATAGCATTTCTCATAATGACAAGAAATGAATATAGAAATGAATAAATAAAAACATAAATAAAAAGGAATAAATTAGCTGTACTACTAATACTTGTTTTGCATGTAAGATTTTAAAAACACTTACTTTGAGGGGATGGTTCAAGTTTTTGGTGTCAGCACAACTTTGAAATGTTACTTCCTGAATCATAACTGTGCATTTTTGTGAAAATAGGTTTTGGAAGGTTTCAAAAGAAATCCAGGGATCTCTAGTCACTTATTAATTCTGACATGTTTTCAAACTCTGTAGTTGTGTCTAGCCTAAAACACAAATTGGAAGGTGGCAAAACCTGTGCCCAGTTTCAGCTGTGCTCTTTTGGAATTCCCCCTAAAAATATGTTCAGGAATGTAAGATAAGATTCATCATGAACATCAGTGTGGAGCTGACTGTGGGAAATACCCGTTACGCAAAGTTTCATGTATTTTGAAGGATGTTAAAATAAAATCAGTAAAATGGATTTTCTGAATTGATTTTAAATAGGATATCAAAGTCATGGAATATAGAATTATTTCTCCAAGGTGAAAAAAAATGGAAATACACTTGTTTTTATATGGAATTGGAAGGAACAGAATAAAAAAATATGAATAAGATTGTTTGCAAAAACCTCCCAAGAAATTATTTCAAATTCAGTAGAGTTGATATTTCTTTGGAACACTATTTAACTACTGTATTTTATGTATCGGGAGTATGAATGTGTCAACAATCTTTTTAGTTTAGTTACCAAGTGATATGTTAATATGTTCAAGTGGCTTAGTAAATTGTTGATGTTCAGTCATACATCTTGTAAAGGAAAATGCTGCTACTAATGGACCTGCACTGTTTGCATCCAAAAAGGTGAACATAAACCCAGTATATTTTCACTGAGGTGGTAGTGTTATAATAAGTATTGTAAGTAGTTACATGTGTGACTAATGGAAGTTCATTTTGTTTTGCAGTTTGAATTATTTTACAGTCAGCATTTTAGTGGAAGGAAGCTTACTTGGTTACATTACCTTTGTACAGGTAAAAATAAATGCTCTGCTAAACTTATGCTCTATACAACACAATTGTTTGTTAAAAGTCCTTTTCAAATGGCAACAGATTTGGAGTTGGAACATTATGTTGCATATAAAGTCAACTATCTTATTTTGCCTAATAAATTAATATTTGCTGCTTAGTATTTCAGATATTTATGTTTTGTAAACTTGCATATGTTATATGTCATTTATTAAATCCAAGTAAAAACAGAGTTGTACATTCTTAACTAGCAAACGGCACTGCAGAACTACTGAGTTAATAACAATTGCCCTGGAATTGTTTCTGTCCCTTAGCTGAATATGACATAATTTTCAGAATACTGTTTTACTCAGATATGTATGTATCTAAGTAAATACATATATATATTTATATTTCTTATATAGAATGTATGTTAAAAAACATCTTAGAAGATATATATTAAAAATTATAGCCTAATTTAGTAAGAGTCAGCCAATTGTATTTTATTTTTAGTGCTTTCAGTATCAGGCTTTAATGACTGATAACCACAACATACGTAGTGGAGATAAAACCAGACTAACATACAATATAATGTAATGAAAATTTGGTTCTGATAATAGAAGGCTGCTATTAACTCATACTCACCTTCACACAGAAAATCTAAATCTGTTTTCAGGCAGATTTTTTCAGTGCTTGCTTTTTTTTTTAGATGTTATTTTAGGGGAGTATAATAATATTGTGAAAAAAATTAATGTAATGGACAATTTTTTTTGTGGTTTGTTGGTTTTTTTTAAAATCTTTCCTTGCAACAATTTTCCTTTAATCACTATTGTGTGTAAGCTACTTCTAATTGGAGTTTATGCATTGCAATGCTTTGAGGCTGTTTGGAATTTCCTTTTTTTATTACTATAAATTAGATTGCATTATTGAAATTCAACACCATAGGTTTCCTTTTCTTGAAAGCACTGTTTTTCTAGGTAATCAGAGGGGGTTTTGTTGCAGACCACAATCTATACCTGTAAATTCATAACATCAGTTTTCATCTTCCCATTCCAAGTGTTAAATTCATCCTTAAATGTGAATTGAATGTCTGGAAATACATGAGGAGCTCTAGTAATTAGGCTTCAGATGACTTTTCAGCACATTTCATCAGTTTATTAAATACTATTCGTATCATTACAGGTGAAGTCAAAATGAATTATTTGTGCAAACCTTACGTAGCGATGGTCACAACATACCAAATGGCAGTGTTGCTTGCCTTCAACAACAGTGAAACTGTCAGTTACAAGGAGCTTCAGGATAGTACGCAAATGAATGACAAGGAGCTGACAAAAACCATCAAATCCTTACTTGATGTCAAAATGATCAACCATGACTCAGACAAGGTAAGCAGTGATGATATAAAAAGTTTCATGTTTTCAGTTTTGTGGTTCTGATACTTATTGAGGACTTCTTTAAGACAGAAGAATCTGCTGTTTGCTTTTTTTCCCCTAAACTGTAGTATTGACTCTTGTGAACAATTACAAATCTGTATTTATAAAGAGACAGGAGGAAACAGACTATCTGTGTCACATAGGATCTCTATGCCTAGAATGGCATGTATGCTGAAAAGGTAGTAGTGCTAGGACTGTTCATTTTTGCATTTTCTCCATTTGTCTTTAGAGTCATTGCTGTGGGAGGGGAGTACTCTTTAAATACATCACTTTCAAATTTGTACTGAGTCATGAGAAGGAGCCTAACTAGCAAACCAAAGAATCCTATAGAGACCTTAAAAAAAAATTGTGTGGGGTTAAGAGACTGAAAGTAACAGCAACCAGGTTGTTCCTTGCTGACAGATACTAGGAGGATTTGTGTGAGAGGATTTTTGCTGCATTTTGCCAAACTCAGTATCATACAATGAGTTTCATGGAATTCCACTAATACCTGAGCTTTGTTTGTGGTTAAGGCAATGGATGATATAGATTCTGTTTCTGATTCTGCCTCATGCTTCTATACATGAAACCAATTCCTCTTTTGTCCATACAGTGAAGGGTGCAGAGGTGTGTTCTGTAAGAAACACTACAGAGGTGTCTGTGCATGCCATGCAGACTTTGGTGTGTGCTTCCAGCTAGCCCAGAAAGCCCAAGTTAGTCAGACAGTATCAGTCAGAAGAAGCTGAGATAAGCTCTCCAATTCACTTTTGGAAGAAATACAAAGCTGCTCTGATAGGTAGTTTGGTTTGTTGTTTTTTTTTTAACAAGGAAAATATTCTAAAAATGGAAAGTGAGATCACAAGGAAGATGTGGTGCTTGGCTGAAGCGTAGGACTTCCTACCAGTATCTAGAAGTGAGCTCAGGTTGCAACAGTGGCTGGGAAGATGTCATTTAAACCATGAGTGAAATAGGACACTGGGAGCTATTACGGAAAACAGTGATATTTTTCATAATCTTAGAAAGTTGCCCGTTATTTAAAGGATTTACATTTCTTTATGTCTGTTATATAAGGTTTGTCCAGTTCTTTTAAGAATAGGTAATTGAAGAGTGGTATAGCTTTACAACCCTTTTACCTTTCCCAGTTTACCATGGCATTTTTGGGTTCTCTGACTTCCAGACTATTGTATTCAAACATCCCTGCTAATTCTGTTTTCCTTGTACTCCATCCAGCAATGTGAAAGCTGATCTGTAGACAGTCTATCAGCTTACTTATTGAATAAGCCCAAGAATTTTAGTGGCTTAAGCAGTGAAATGAAATACGCTAACTTAACTGTACCTGAGCCACACAGAAAAGTACAGTGTATTATGTATGGTGGTTTGCTTTTGTTTGTTTTGTTCTTTTTTGAAAGAGGGAAAAAAAATAAGAAAAAAAGACAACTTTTGGCAAAATATTGATTTGTTAGAATCATGTTTTTTGAGTTCGTGTACAAAACAATTTATTTTTGTTTATACTCAACCATGTCAGCAGAATAATGCTAGAATTTAATGTTAGCTTATATTTTTAAAGCTGTTGGTTTTTGCACTTTCATGTTACATTTTCTATGCTGTACCTGGATATTATAAAATATTATAATAAAGAATACTTGTGGAATGTAAAATTAGAATTAATATTGTTTTGAATATATATTTAGATAAATATTGACTGTGTTTACTGAAGTATTTGCACTGGAAGCAGCCATGGTTTGGCAAAATTCCAAAGTCTAAGAAGCTCTTTATTGTGCTGGAAATTGCCAATACTTGTTCTCGTGCCTGGAAACTGCAAAGATCAGTCAGGTCATCCTGTTAGTTGAATGTAAAGGTGTTTGGTCTGCAGGGAGTAGTTATCATTTATTGAAAGAAACAGACTTTTTCATGTGAAAAAGAATTGAGATTTTAACAGGAAAAATTAGAAATGTACAGATAGATATTAAACTGCATAATTTGCAGCTTGTTAACTCTTTCTGCTATAACAAAGTGCTTAGATTTTTTTCCTTAAGTTCTGGAAGGCAACATCAATAATAGTTGTGAAAGCAACTATTCTCACTTGAGGTTCTGCCATAAATAATGCAAATCCTATTTTCTTTGCAGGGAGAAAATTAGTTTAAATGGAAAGTGTTTGCAACTAAGATAGGCTGTTGAAGTATTAAAACAGAAATTACTTGAATATGGTTAACAAAACTCCTGTATATCAGTGTTGTTTATATTATTATCTACAATAGACTTGATTTCTAGGTTAAACTGTAGCTTAAAAAATTGACCTGCTTCAAGTGGCATTTTAGAGTTTCTGGCTACAAATCTAAGATTATTTAAGTGTATGCAAGATGCTGACTGATTTTTCAAAGTAAATCGGTATAATTTCCTGTTTCCACATCTGATTTTTAAAAAAAGATTCTTTATTGCAGGAAGATATAGAGGCAGAGTCTACTTTTTCATTAAATATGAGCTTCAGCAGTAAACGAACAAAATTTAAAATTACTACATCAATGCAGAAAGACACACCACAGGCAAGTATGATTTGGTGTTTTTAGCTTCAACAACTTAGCCTATTTTTCTAAAATTTTATTTATTGCATTGGTTTGGTGTAAGCAGATATAAGAGTCACTGTATAAGATTTACATCACCCTAAATAAATTGTTTAAGTTTAAAGCTTAAGCACTTTAAATGTTATTGTACTTAAAATACAGGCAGAAGATGGAATAAAGAATAAGAAAGTAGAAAAGAAAGGCAAAGGAGAGCTATTCCTCTTGTACCAAATGGAACTGACATTTAGCTTCTATTATCTAATGAAACTTTTGTTGATTGTGTTTATAAAAGCACCGTATTCCAGGAGCAGCCGAACCAATCAACTCTTTTCCTATGGTTTTATGTCGTTTGGCAATGAAAATAAACTCCGCTGTTCCCTCTCTATCTCCTAAGATGTAGGATTTTCTACAAGAGCCAGATGTGCTGCCAAACACAATACATTATGGTGAATTCTGCCTGCCTTTCTTTTTTTTGTTATTCTTGATTTATGGAAGTACTTTGGAATTGAACTTCACCTATATTTTTGTATTATTTGACCATTTTTAATAAACTAAAAAGTATAGATTTGGGATAGTTTTATGAAATATTTATTGATCTTACTATATTCTAAGCATTATTGTTCTTTCTATGTTGCAGGAGATGGAGCAGACCAGAAGTGCTGTAGATGAAGACAGAAAAATGTATCTTCAAGCTGCTATAGTCCGTATCATGAAAGCACGTAAAGTTTTGCGACATAATGCTCTTATTCAGGAGGTAAGATAAAATCCTCTTCTTAGGTATGATTTGATGAAAATATGCAGGACAAAACCCTTCTATGTAAAAAAAATGAAGTGCCTCTGTGCTTGCTTTTTCCTGTTGGCTGCTTCTGTGTTGACAGATGTTGTAACCTATAAGAATCATTGCCAGAGCTCTAGGTTGAAAACCTGAGTATGGATATTCTAGGTATGGAATTTCCACAGACGCACCTAACCAATTTTGAGCACTAATCATGATTTTATTCTAATTCATGGCGTAAATTTTAAAAGTTGTCTGAGTATGTAGACAGGCATTTCTTGTTCTCTCTTTCCCATTTAGTCGAAGAGTTGTCTAGAGTTTTTAGGTTCTAGATTAATGATCTGTGAACTGTCACAGACCTGGCTGGGAAGGCAGTGTTACTTCTTTTGATTTTCTCACATTTTCCCATCTGTGCAAGTTGCCTGCGTAATTGTATTTCTTATTCCAACCTACCCTTTGCTCCTACCAACCAGTTCCCAGTTACAGTTTTCTCAGCCTTCCAGGACAGTCATTCTTATGTCTCCTGAGCTTTGCTGGACAATGTCAGAACAGACTGGTGGGAGAGTTAGCATGCCATTTTGAGCATGGAGTTGAAGAGGCATTCAGCCATTTTGGTATCTGCTGTGTGCTTATGGGGATGGAGGAAACTTTACCACACCCACTACTTAATTTTTGTTTCCTGAAAGAAATAAGCAGCTACAGAGAGCTTGTAAGCCCAGAACTTGCAATGTGAGGTATCTTAAAGGTTTTGGGTACTGAGATAGTGCTCGTGCACAAATACTCTGAAAGCAAGCTTAATTTAAGAAATCTGATTTTGAATGTCTAAAAAATGAGCCAGCTTAGGTCCTGATTATTCTCACAATCTTTGGTTATTTGGTTTTCTGTTACTTAAACCATCCATGCAATTATGATGAAATCCTGTAAGAATTTACATTTAAAACTGTAAAATGGTCAACAGGCCCTGTTTCATCTTTGAAAATACTTTTTTCTTCCTACTTTCTGATATTTAGAAAGAGTTTTCAAAGTGTGCTTTGCTTCAGACCAGCTTATAAGGGTGGAATAGATTACGAATTTTTATGGAGCAGCTCTGCTACGAAGCCAGGCTGTGAGAGAGTTGGGGCTGTTCAGCCTGGAGAAGGCAAGGCTCGAGGAAGACCTTATAGCTGCCTTCTAGTATCTGTAGCTAGAGGAAAGCTGGGAAGGAGTTTTTCAGCAGAGAGGGCAGTGACAGGACAAGATGTAATATTTTTAAACTGAAAGAACGGAGAGTCAAGTTAGACATCAGGAAGAAATTATTTGCCATGAGGGTAGTAAGGCACTGGAATAGGTTGCCTAGGGTGGTTGTTGGTGCCCCCTCCCTGGAGTTGTTTAAGGCCAGGCTGGATGAGGCTTGTGCAGCCTGATTTGGTGTGAGGTGTCCCTGCTCGTAGCAAGGGAGTTAGAACCTGATGATCCGGGGTCCCTTCCAACCTTAACCATTCTGTGATTCTATGATTCTACGTTTTGGAAACAAAATCCTTTCTGGTTGCTTCTTCCTTTGTTTAACTTGGGAGGCACTATCTGACACGTCTCTGCTGTGTTTTGCTCTTGAGCTTGCAGAATAGAACAGTCTGTTGAAATCAGGAACTTTTTTATGTTTTTCAAGAAAGTTGGATATTTTTATTGTTACTCAGTTAAAAGCTAAGTAAAGTTGGTGCTTCATTTAGCTATCACCAGCCATATCGACCAGTGTTGGTCCTGCTGACTTTCATGAAACCTGGTATTCTTGATTTATGGAAGTACTTTGGAATTGAACTTCACCTATATTTTTGTATTATTTGACCATTTTTAATAAACTAAAAAGTATAGATTTGGGATAGTTTTATGAAATATTTATTGATCTTACTATATTCTAAGCATTATTGTTCTTTCTATGTTGCAGGAGATGGAGCAGACCAGAAGTGCTGTAGATGAAGACAGAAAAATGTATCTTCAAGCTGCTATAGTCCGTATCATGAAAGCACGTAAAGTTTTGCGACATAATGCTCTTATTCAGGAGGTAAGATAAAATCCTCTTCTTAGGTATGATTTGATGAAAATATGCAGGACAAAACCCTTCTATGTAAAAAAAATGAAGTGCCTCTGTGCTTGCTTTTTCCTGTTGGCTGCTTCTGTGTTGACAGATGTTGTAACCTATAAGAATCATTGCCAGAGCTCTAGGTTGAAAACCTGAGTATGGATATTCTAGGTATGGAATTTCCACAGACGCACCTAACCAATTTTGAGCACTAATCATGATTTTATTCTAATTCATGGCGTAAATTTTAAAAGTTGTCTGAGTATGTAGACAGGCATTTCTTGTTCTCTCTTTCCCATTTAGTCGAAGAGTTGTCTAGAGTTTTTAGGTTCTAGATTAATGATCTGTGAACTGTCACAGACCTGGCTGGGAAGGCAGTGTTACTTCTTTTGATTTTCTCACATTTTCCCATCTGTGCAAGTTGCCTGCGTAATTGTATTTCTTATTCCAACCTACCCTTTGCTCCTACCAACCAGTTCCCAGTTACAGTTTTCTCAGCCTTCCAGGACAGTCATTCTTATGTCTCCTGAGCTTTGCTGGACAATGTCAGAACAGACTGGTGGGAGAGTTAGCATGCCATTTTGAGCATGGAGTTGAAGAGGCATTCAGCCATTTTGGTATCTGCTGTGTGCTTATGGGGATGGAGGAAACTTTACCACACCCACTACTTAATTTTTGTTTCCTGAAAGAAATAAGCAGCTACAGAGAGCTTGTAAGCCCAGAACTTGCAATGTGAGGTATCTTAAAGGTTTTGGGTACTGAGATAGTGCTCGTGCACAAATACTCTGAAAGCAAGCTTAATTTAAGAAATCTGATTTTGAATGTCTAAAAAATGAGCCAGCTTAGGTCCTGATTATTCTCACAATCTTTGGTTATTTGGTTTTCTGTTACTTAAACCATCCATGCAATTATGATGAAATCCTGTAAGAATTTACATTTAAAACTGTAAAATGGTCAACAGGCCCTGTTTCATCTTTGAAAATACTTTTTTCTTCCTACTTTCTGATATTTAGAAAGAGTTTTCAAAGTGTGCTTTGCTTCAGACCAGCTTATAAGGGTGGAATAGATTACGAATTTTTATGGAGCAGCTCTGCTACGAAGCCAGGCTGTGAGAGAGTTGGGGCTGTTCAGCCTGGAGAAGGCAAGGCTCGAGGAAGACCTTATAGCTGCCTTCTAGTATCTGTAGCTAGAGGAAAGCTGGGAAGGAGTTTTTCAGCAGAGAGGGCAGTGACAGGACAAGATGTAATATTTTTAAACTGAAAGAACGGAGAGTCAAGTTAGACATCAGGAAGAAATTATTTGCCATGAGGGTAGTAAGGCACTGGAATAGGTTGCCTAGGGTGGTTGTTGGTGCCCCCTCCCTGGAGTTGTTTAAGGCCAGGCTGGATGAGGCTTGTGCAGCCTGATTTGGTGTGAGGTGTCCCTGCTCGTAGCAAGGGAGTTAGAACCTGATGATCCGGGGTCCCTTCCAACCTTAACCATTCTGTGATTCTATGATTCTACGTTTTGGAAACAAAATCCTTTCTGGTTGCTTCTTCCTTTGTTTAACTTGGGAGGCACTATCTGACACGTCTCTGCTGTGTTTTGCTCTTGAGCTTGCAGAATAGAACAGTCTGTTGAAATCAGGAACTTTTTTATGTTTTTCAAGAAAGTTGGATATTTTTATTGTTACTCAGTTAAAAGCTAAGTAAAGTTGGTGCTTCATTTAGCTATCACCAGCCATATCGACCAGTGTTGGTTTTTTAGCTTGGCTTTTAACTAAATTTATAACACTTTAGAAAATCATATCCTTTATCCTTTAATCTTGACTTCTGAATTTTGAATACTGCCTATGTCCTAGGTGAACTAGAGCATTTAAAACTGAAGGCTAGGATTCCAAATAATTTATATCTGTGCTGCAGTATAGTATATGTCGCCTTAACTGAGCAATTACGAAACCTCTAGCAATAAGGTGAAGCAGTACAAAAATCCACTAGGGTTAATTTTTCCTTCTTTTTTGCACTTTGAATTAATTTGTGCTGATCTCCATGCTGCCTCAGCTAAAAAGTTACTGGGACCTGAGCTAGATTCTTTAAAATGTCAGGTATCTTCTCAACAGTTTGTGAGGCACTTTAAAATTATTGCCAGGTTTTAGAGCAAATTGTGGGGAGGCAGGGTTTTGTATACTTAATGCTTAAACACAAAGATTAAAATCTCATGTTAAGTGGAAATTCTGTCTGGTTATGTCTGCTTTGAGCTCAGTAATTTGTTTTGCTTCGTGTTGTATGAATCATAGAATCATAGAATCTTAGGGGCTGGAAGGGACCTCAAGAGATCATCTAGTCCAACCCCCCTGCCAGAGCAGGGTCACCTAGAGTACATCACACAGGAACTCATCCAGGTGGGTTTTGAATGTCTCCAGTGAGGGAGACTCCACAACCTCCCTGGGCAGTCTGTTCCAGTGCTCTGAGGCAAAATGAGGCAAAAGTGCCAGATGGTTCCAAGTTGAGCATGCTCAACTTTCTTAGTAGACTGACCTTTATGAAAAGCTAAATAACCATCACTTCTATTAAACCTGTAAGAGGATGCATAACCAGCTTGACTGTCCAACATTTTTTTTCCCCTGCCAACTTTGTAGTAAGATTTTATTTACTGTCAAGAGCCTTTTTATTTCTTAAAATGTGTGATATTGTTACCAAGTATGGTGACGTATATACTTAGTTCTTGCTACTTTTATCGTTATGTTTATATACTTCAAAAGAATGCATTCACTTTAAATGTCTACTCTGACTTTTTGAGGAGTAAGAATGAATCTTCTGAAAGGAAGTCTGTTTCCTATGAATGATTAATGTTTTGTCACCTCATTAATATTTTTTTCTGAGATATAAGGGCAGGATTGTATTGGTAACTAGAGATATGATTGAAAGACTCCTAGCCTTAATGTAGTTAGCTCTGATTCTAACAATTAAGACTACAGCACCACACATTTCATTTACAGTGAGGTGTCCAAGAAAATACATGAGGCCCTTTGTAGGCTTGTGTATGTCAGCATGTGGTCTTTGATGAATAGTGCATTGTGTTAGATATGCCTTGGTAGTTTTAATTTCAGCTCCATGCTGCAGTTGCTTGCAGTATGAGGTGACTTTTCCCTTAAAATGAGTAAGATCAGTGGGAGTTGTGGAGAGGAAAGGTCAATGCTGTCATTCCCAGCAAATTTTTAAGTCTGACCATCAGATATTTCTGTCCATCCTTCTTATTTGTATTGTCTTTGATAAAACAAAACCAACTCCCCAGAAAAACTCCACCAATAAGAATTCTATCTTTTGTTCTCTCTGTCCTAAGTAAGTACATGAAGTCTGTTGATAAACAATCAGTTTGAGTGTAGGACTGAAGTTAGATGAAATCTGAGCAAATCTACTAGCTTGTTAATACCAAGTTTCTTCTCATTTGTACTGCTGTGGAACATTCCAGACCTTTGGCTGCTAGCCCAACAAAACTTGCTCTTTTGAGCTTTTTGTTTGCTTTGCTGGGTGGTTCTACCTGGTGAGTTCTGTTGGCTCACAGAGGGCTCCAAGAAGCTCCAGAGCTTGGACAAAGCCAGGGATGAGAAGTTGTAAAGAAAACAGGAAATTCAGCTGAAATAAAAATCACTTTCTTTACAGAACAATTAAGAAGCTATAGACAAAATACATTGTGACACTTGAGTAGGAAGATCTTTTTTTTAACTCACCATTGCTAGGAAGTATAGAGGAGAAAGTAATACCAATTTTCTTTGCTACAGGTTTGCCATGAAAGTAAAATGTGACAAATTTTCCAAGTTAATAGATAGTCTGTTACCACACACCACTTCCTCCTCTTCTCCACAAGAGAACAGGCAAAACTGAGAACTATTAAGAGACATCTAAAGTTTTGCCTGCAGCAGCAGTTTCTTCCACAATGCATAGTTAAGATTTCTTTTTACAATATTTTTTTTTTTACTGTATGTATTGCAAAGCTCCAGATAGAACTCCCCAAATTTTAGGGCTACCTTCAGTGGCTGAAGCAAGAGAGGTTCACCTTCACTGTCTCAAACTGTATAGGAAAGGAGGCAAGCAGTAGGGGGACTCCATTTACACCTTTCAGGCAGCTGAGCCATTTGAAATCCTTCCAGGACCAGGTGTACATGGGCTGGAACTTTGACAAAACAAAGCAAGTCCAGCTCACAGCTCATATCCTGAAAGCTGCAGCAGCAGCAAAGTAGTGTAAGTTTACGAAATTATTGCTACTTGGACTGTCTCTTTTGTGATTAAGAGTATTATCTAGGACTGTTCAGCAAACTTTCTGAAAAATAATTGTTATTTTTTTCTTGCAAATCTTATTGTCTACTGTAGTGGAATATCTGAAGTTAGATTGCGTTTTTAAGATACTTAAACTGTGCTATTTAAGAATTAACAAGATTTTATTATAACAATATCATCAGAATTGTTGAAATTTGCTACGTACTATGTCTTCTAACAGTCTTTTTAATGCTATAAAAACCCAAAAGTTTCGTGAATCTTTGTTAAATGAAAATGTCTTCTCTTTTTATGATAACAAAAGTGGTGATGGATGGGAGAAAAATTGTGTTCAACTTTAGAGGCAGTTTTGAAAAATGGAATCAAGTGAAATTTAACCATTCAGAATGGCATGAGCTATAATAAAAACTAAAATTAACACATTTTTCAGGCATTCAATTTCCAAGTAAGACTGATGTAACGAAAGCAAAATTAATGAGTCCATAAATTAAATATTCTAGAATGACAAAAGCACACAAACAAGTAAAAAGGGATCTAGTCTTGGAAGAGAAGTCAGTTAGCAGGGCGAGCATGGAAAGGCACATAGGCTTTTACAAAATTTTCACTTTGCTTAAACTGTGATAAAAATAAAGTGAAGAAATGTGTTAATATCAGATTAATTTTTAACCTGAATATTTCTCTTCATTTCTACTGGGACCAAGCAAGTAAGTAAGAGGAGTGAGAATATCTGGTTATCAAGCAGTCAAACTAACCAATGACTCACTCAGTTTAAGTATCCTGACACTGATGTATAGAGGTGCTTTGTTATTCACTGTAAATTAACTATTCCAGGTTTGTTTAATCCTGTCTTTAAAAGAAAAGCACAGTGAATTTGCCTTAAAGTCCTAGTGAACATTAATAGCATTTGTAACTGTTGTAAGTAAAAAATAATGAAAAATTTTGTCTTTCTTTTCCAGGTAATTAGCCAATCAAGGGCTAGGTTTAACCCAAGTATCAGCATGATTAAGAAGTGTATTGAAGTCCTGATAGACAAACAATACATAGAGCGAAGCCAGGCCTCTGCAGACGAGTACAGTTATGTAGCATGATATTGCTATCCTGCAGGTATGATTGTAAGGAGATCATTGCTGTCACTGTTTGGTGTGTTCCTGTGGGAAGAGGCAGGCCTGTGCCTCCATAATTGGTCACTTGGCAGCCCCTGTTTTTCTGCTGTTTACAACATCACCAGTGCCATGTCATGAGCGTCAATGAAAATGCCTATAGATATTTCAAGCTCATGTCATTATGACATTTCTTAAAACTTTACTAAAAGAATGAGTGAAGTATTGCTGAAATGTGGAAAATTGGTTGGGTACCATGCTTTTTTTTTCCCCCTCCCCTTTCACGTTTGCAGTTGATGTTTTTTAATGTATCTTAAGACAAGGTAAAAAAAACCAACACCTAAATATTGTAATATGACAGATAACCTAATAATTGTATCTACATTAAAATGTAAAAACAATGACGAACATGATATTGCTGCTTGTCAAATAAAAAAATAAAGTTATATAATGTGTCTGGAATGATTGTAGAAATGGATATAGCATTAATGTCTGTAAATATTATTCAGACCTGGAAAAGTAAAAATAATGTTATGTGTTTGGGTAACCTCAGAAGTAGATCTGATGTAAGAATTAATTTTTATAAAACTGAATACCAGGTATGTTATGTTTGATGTGATTATAAAAAAAAAATATTTATGGTTAAGTGCACATCTTGTTTTGTCAAGATTAGGCTAACTTATATTCTCAGTGCCTGGAGGCCTACTCTGTGTCTCTTAATCTCACACCACAGGAATATGTTACAAGATAAAATAAACAGATGTTTGAGGGGATTCAAGTAATATATTTCACAAAGAATTAGGAATGGTTATCATGAACATGAAAGATACAGTTCAGTAGCTTGTGAAACCACCCTATTGATGGGAAATAATATAGCAGACTGGTAATTGAAAGGTGTTTCATTAACACATTGAGTAGAAGCACTACATAGGTAGGTACTTAATATTTGTTTCCACATAAGCCCATAGTGGTTTTTCCTCCTGTTCCCTCCTAACTCATATGGTTGTATTTGCCATGTTTGGTTTTCCTCTGCCCTGGGTAGAGTTCCAGTGATTTGGGTGGGACAAGAAGTCCATGGGGTATTTCATGTCCTGTGTTGTTTTTCAGGGGTTGTCTAGTGACTGTTCACTCTCATATAAGCAAAGTATAATTTTAAAAGGTACTAAATCTACCACTGGAAGTAATTGGAGTTTAAGAACATTCAAGTGTATGAGCACACTGAATGCCTGCCGTGGAAAAGAGCTTCCTAATGGCTATGCCTGCAATTATCATTGACAAGAGAAATATTAAGTTAACTTTGAATGTTCTATTTTTGCGAAATTGTATTTGTGTGCATATAAAAATATATATGTAGATATATCTTATTTGGAATATTTTTTTAGGTTGCATGATGTCTCATTGACTACTGGAAGTCCACAGATCAAGGATTAATTTTAAAGGAAAAAAACCTTTTGTGGGAGAGCTTTTTCCTTCTTTTTTCTAGTTCTTCACTGTAGGAAAGGTTTATCTGCAACTCTCAGGTTATTGCTGTCTCTTAAGTGGCATCGCATTCATGTGTCTTCTGGGAGGGTATAGTAAACTTTCTATAGTGAATGAGGAAATGCATAAAGAAGTGGTAGTTTTCCTTATGTGGATTTTGCTAAGGGTGCATAAAGGGCAATAAAAAATGAAGGGCACTAAATACTTATTCCATATTTATGTATTTTATACCACTGCCCTGATACCTAGATTTTTAGAATGCATTTATGTCTTAAGACGTGGTGTCTTTAGCTGATTGCAATATAGCTGAGTAAGTCGTCTGAAGTGGTAGGTCAGAGTTGTGTGTGTGTTGGGAGACTGCAGAGGTGCTGACAGGGTCACCAAGTGTAGCAAACAGGAGAAGACATTAGCATAAATTTTGACTGGAGCTACTTTTCATCTACTTCAATGTGAAACACTTTCATGCTTTATAAAAAGTAATTCATTACTTCTTACAACAGAAAAAAATAGAATAGAGGGAATATTCTGTGACACAACAGAAAAAATATTGTCTGATCATTGTATCATCAGATCCTTTCTCCAGAAAACAAACTGTAACACCAAAGCTTCTGGAAACAAATGTGTTTTATTTTGTAACTTGTGTGTAAGTCAACAGATCTTAAGCGTGTTTCTTCATAAAAGGGTTAATAAAAGCTTTAAATAGTGATTGCAGTAGCAAAATTTTAAGACTTGAGTTTGAAAAAAGCCTGAACAAATGTACTTTCAGAATACTTCATAGACAAAACAAAAACTACTGCTCTAGCCCAAACGTGTAAAGTTTTAGCATTACCTTATCTGAATTTCTGCATACCTAAAACATCAAAAGTAATATTTTGTTTTTTAGATAAGCATACTGCTGAGTTGAGACATGTTTAGGGAGTTAAAAACATTCATATGTTTCAGTGCAGTTGGCATCCCCACACAACGGCTGTCATAATTATATACAAACTCAGTCTTTTCAGTGCCTCTTGGGAAACATGGCTATAGCTGGGAAACCTTTTGAGTTTTACTTCATAACTCACACCTTCCCCCTAAGGAAAAAAGCAGTGCAAAGATTCAGCTCTCTGTAGCTGGGGTAAGTCACTGAAGTCATTGCTGGCACACAGTCATGCAGCTTGTAGTGTGGTGCTACAAGCTGGTGCCAGGGGAGGTTCAGATTGGGTATTAGGAAAAATTTCTTCACAGAAAGTGGTGAGGCGTTGGAACAGGCTGCCCAGAGAGGTGGTGGAGGCACCATCCCTGGAGGTGTTCAAAAACAGGTGGACATGGTGCTGGACATGGTGCTTTGGGAGATGGTTTAGTGGTTAGGGGTTGTAAGGTGGGTAGTTAGACTGGATGATCTTGAAGGTCTTTTCCAACCTTGATGATTCTATGATTCTAAATAAATCTGGAGGCAAGTGTCATTTCAAAATACAAAGTGCTAATGAGTATTAATGGGGGAAGCCCATTATTAAAAGAGTAAACATCTGAAAATGCCATGCATTTTTAATTTTTCATGGGAAGAAACTGGTTTAATTCTAGAGAATGATGTCTCATTGACTACTGGAAGTCCACAGATCAAGGATTAATTTTAAAGGAAAAAAACCTTTTGTGGGAGAGCTTTTTCCTTCTTTTTTCTAGTTCTTCACTGTAGGAAAGGTTTATCTGCAACTCTCAGGTTATTGCTGTCTCTTAAGTGGCATCGCATTCATGTGTCTTCTGGGAGGGTATAGTAAACTTTCTATAGTGAATGAGGAAATGCATAAAGAAGTGGTAGTTTTCCTTATGTGGATTTTGCTAAGGGTGCATAAAGGGCAATAAAAAATGAAGGGCACTAAATACTTATTCCATATTTATGTATTTTATACCACTGCCCTGATACCTAGATTTTTAGAATGCATTTATGTCTTAAGACGTGGTGTCTTTAGCTGATTGCAATATAGCTGAGTAAGTCGTCTGAAGTGGTAGGTCAGAGTTGTGTGTGTGTTGGGAGACTGCAGAGGTGCTGACAGGGTCACCAAGTGTAGCAAACAGGAGAAGACATTAGCATAAATTTTGACTGGAGCTACTTTTCATCTACTTCAATGTGAAACACTTTCATGCTTTATAAAAAGTAATTCATTACTTCTTACAACAGAAAAAAATAGAATAGAGGGAATATTCTGTGACACAACAGAAAAAATATTGTCTGATCATTGTATCATCAGATCCTTTCTCCAGAAAACAAACTGTAACACCAAAGCTTCTGGAAACAAATGTGTTTTATTTTGTAACTTGTGTGTAAGTCAACAGATCTTAAGCGTGTTTCTTCATAAAAGGGTTAATAAAAGCTTTAAATAGTGATTGCAGTAGCAAAATTTTAAGACTTGAGTTTGAAAAAAGCCTGAACAAATGTACTTTCAGAATACTTCATAGACAAAACAAAAACTACTGCTCTAGCCCAAACGTGTAAAGTTTTAGCATTACCTTATCTGAATTTCTGCATACCTAAAACATCAAAAGTAATATTTTGTTTTTTAGATAAGCATACTGCTGAGTTGAGACATGTTTAGGGAGTTAAAAACATTCATATGTTTCAGTGCAGTTGGCATCCCCACACAACGGCTGTCATAATTATATACAAACTCAGTCTTTTCAGTGCCTCTTGGGAAACATGGCTATAGCTGGGAAACCTTTTGAGTTTTACTTCATAACTCACACCTTCCCCCTAAGGAAAAAAGCAGTGCAAAGATTCAGCTCTCTGTAGCTGGGGTAAGTCACTGAAGTCATTGCTGGCACACAGTCATGCAGCTTGTAGTGTGGTGCTACAAGCTGGTGCCAGGGGAGGTTCAGATTGGGTATTAGGAAAAATTTCTTCACAGAAAGTGGTGAGGCGTTGGAACAGGCTGCCCAGAGAGGTGGTGGAGGCACCATCCCTGGAGGTGTTCAAAAACAGGTGGACATGGTGCTGGACATGGTGCTTTGGGAGATGGTTTAGTGGTTAGGGGTTGTAAGGTGGGTAGTTAGACTGGATGATCTTGAAGGTCTTTTCCAACCTTGATGATTCTATGATTCTAAATAAATCTGGAGGCAAGTGTCATTTCAAAATACAAAGTGCTAATGAGTATTAATGGGGGAAGCCCATTATTAAAAGAGTAAACATCTGAAAATGCCATGCATTTTTAATTTTTCATGGGAAGAAACTGGTTTAATTCTAGAGATTATTTACTTGTTTATTTATTTTTGTTTGTTATAAGTCACCTAACATGTATGACCAGTTAGTTTATTGGGAGCCATACAGCTGAGTCTGGAAACATCTCATACATTTCTGGTATCAAATTGTGCTTTACTTCTAGGATTGAGTGTTATCAATAATTCTTATGCTAACTGAAAATATATTTCTATGATGTTTTATTTGTCTTCAGATTGATTATCTTATTCTACAGAAGAAAAATGTATATCTGTATTTCAATGTGTTCATACATTGCTGCTGGAGCTATGAAAGGTACTGAAATCACCATAACATGAGAAACAGTTTTCAAAGTGGAGAGTATAATTACTTTTTAAGACACCTTTCAATGAGTACATCACTTCTCCAAATAAGGAGCAGAGTACAAGTACTGGTCAAAGGAGAAATACATTTTATAAGCAGTTATCTTTCAGCTATGCTTAGAAAGCCTTTTCTTATCCTTAAAAAATAATTTTAAAATCATACAGCATAGTATTTATTTGTGAGCAGAATAAATTATTTGTACTCTAGGGCAAATAGATTATAACTGTCCATGCTTTACAAAGATGATAAGTACCTGGCATTAGTCTAAGGTATTACAATCTGTGAAAACATATTCT